GAAAAGTGAAGAAAACTGAAAGTAAAACAATTGGCAGATGAGGCAGGTTAATGGCAAGGGTATCCGCTAAATATCGCATCTCCTAAACACGAGAGCTAACCATCTTACATACACTTCTATTGCTGTGAGTCCTGGAAAAACAAAATCCGTGGGAGAGGGCCCAGTGAACTATACCAGAGCTCAGATCTTGCCAAAAAAATAAATAAATAATAACTCAACAAGCAGCAGATCCAAAAAGATTACTGGAAATGGGGTAAAGCTCATCACGAGGTTTCCCTTCTGGTCTAAGGGTTCCACACCATAAAGACACGTGTCTGTCCTGCTGCATGTATCTCATGATGAGGAATCATGTGCAAAAAGTTAAAGATCAAATGGGAGAAGGGAAAGAAGGTCTGTGTTTGTTCAAATATTTGCAGACTACCAGGGTATGTACTAAGGACAGGGGCAATAAAGATGGGACATGAAGAACCTGTCACCCCTGCCTCCACGTGAGTAGAATATTTGATCGTTTTTATTTTGATCATTGTTGAACATCCAGCACCAAACAGTACATGGCACATAGTAGGTTCTCAAAAATAGATACTAAGTAGGAAAACACTCATGGGCTACTGTACACATAGTTGACAACTAAACAGCCATTTCCAATCAGTGTTTTCAACATGTAGTTATGTAGCAACCAACCACAAGTTAAGCAATCACTATATACTAACAGACTGTGACATGAACTACATGGCAGGTGGAATGCGGAAGTACTATTAAAGCTCATCCTAATGGTAAGAGGCAGCTTCCTGTCACTCCCAGGCAGAGTGATGAAATTTGATGAGCAGGGGCATGAGGTTGAGCCATCTCAGATTTCAGAGAACAGCGTGTGAACGGGATCCTTGAGCAGAAGTATGAATAGGGAACTGCCCATACAGCATTGCTACTGGATAAAGGGTGGTGAGCAGAAACCAGAGACACCCAGTCTGAAGAGATTAACAGGAGAGTCACAAACAGAATCGGACCATGGGCCTGGGGAGGCCCTCTGAAGGCCTTCTTAGCACAGGACTGATAGCATCAGAGGTGCACGTTGGCCATGTAACTCCAGCTTGAAGTGGGGGGAACAAGCCAAAGAGAAAGGTGGGGCAGTGGTCCAGGTAAGGGTGACAGTGGCTGTGGCTTTGGAGAAGGGAAATGGCAATAAATGATGGCAGACAGATTGAGACTGGGAAATCAAAGTTCAAAAAGACTGATGGGTGTGGGGGATTGTAGGAGGTTGCCAGGTGTTGGGCTCTGGAGTCCACGTGAATGAGAGGACCATCGTGCAAAATGGGGAGCACAGACACTCAATAAATTTGATCCACAGTGGATAGGGAGGGAAAATAGCTTCCACCAGTGGACAGGTGATGATGCTCCTGGAACAAAAATTACTACCCAATTTATTCCTTCTTCTAGAGCTTACAACCCCAAGACAAAGAGGAATGGTCATTCAGCAATCATTTACTGACTTTCCACATTATACCATGTACTGACACTAAGAAAAGAACACTGAGCCAAGTTCATTATTCCTGTGATGGGGCCCACTGAAGGGAGGTAGCTGTAAGCACAGTGAGTTGAGGACGAGTCAGAAAGTGGGAACAAGGATTAGAAGTGGAAGATAAAAATTTTCATTGTGATGGATAAAGGGACATGTTACTGGAAAAGGTAACATTCAAACAAAAACTTGAAAGACAATACATTTCCAAGAACATCCTTCCAGTCAGGGGGCAATGTAAGGACAAAGTCCTGAGCTGGGAGCTTGGTGGGTTTTTAATGGACAAAGTAGCCAATATGCCTTGAATGAAATTAGTTGAGAAATCACCAGCATTGACAGCAGAGAGCTTTTTGAGGTGGCTGAGCATGGAGCAGCAGGGAAATGTGACAGTTTGATTAAGACCCAGCTAAGAACTTTGGATTTTCTTCTAAGAAACCACCAAAGACTTGTTAGGGGGAGAAATTAAGGGCGGAAAGAAACTTTTACATAAGGCTCCCACACAAGACTTTTTATTGTTTCCTGTTCAGCCCTTTTTTAGAAATATATTTCCAACCCAATCATGTTCTTACAAACTTTCAGCATTTTGTTATAGTCTTAGTCTTCTGAGCCCAAATTGTGGCCTTGTTTATTTGTCAGTGCATTTATTTCACCGTAAGTATTGAAAGACATGCGCAGCGATGCTCTGGGGCTCTCACTTCAGCACTTCATGGTGTTATTCCGTTGTCTTCCAGCTCCAACTGTTTCCGATGCAAAATAGGTTGTCATTCTTTTCCTTCCCCCTCATATGCAAGGGAACCTTTGGATTATTATTATTATGATTGCTTTTGAAGTTTAAATGTTTTTTTTTATTTCTTTCATTTTTGGTTACTTGACTTTTATGTGCTGAGGAGTAACTTTACAGTCTTATGTTTGGTGAACTCTGAGTACTTAGGACAGTGCTCTTCAACTTGGGGGAGGGAGCATCTGTCATTCACTTTTCAAATGCTTCCACTGCCACCTCCCTGCCTCCTGCCCTGAGTGTGTCAGCCCCTGTTCTCGGCTCCCTGCCGCTCTTCTCACTCTTTTAAACGTTTTCACATTCTATGTTTTTGAGTGTGCAACTTCTGTTTGTCCTTTTTATTCCCTCAGATTCACTGTATCTTCGGCTGTTGTTTGTTGTTGACCATTTTCTCTACATTTTTCTTTCAGATGCTGGTTTTTGTTTTGTTTTGTTTTGTTTTTTGGTGTTTTTTTTTTTTTTTGTGTGTGTGTGTGTGTACAGATCAGAAGACAGCTTGTAGGAGTTTGTTCTCTTCTTCCATGTGGGCCCTGATTGAACTCAGACGGTCAGTCTTGGACACAAATGCCTTCACCCACTGATTCATCTCTTGGGCCCCAGTTGCTGTTTTTTATAACTAGAATGTCTACTATTCCAGGATTGCCATTTCTTTCTTTAACACCATATTTCTTCATCTATTATGTCCATTCCTTTCTACCACTAGAAATATTGAGCAAAGGTGTGGTAAAACACATATTAACATGGGAATCCTAGATTTTGCATTAATCATTAATGGTCAAAGAAACGAAGACAAAGTTAGGAGGCTATTGAAATAATTCCTACAAAAAATGTTAGTAGTTAGGACCAATACAGCACCTCACACAGCGAATTGAGTGTGATGACAGATACCTAATCAATACTGTGGTAACAATTCCTTAAAAGGAGGGTTTGACTCAAAACATGAATGGGACATATCTAGAGGTTTTAAAAAATTGACATATAAAGGAGGTTGGGACTAAAACAAGACTTTATACTCTTGTACCATTGGCACAGGAAAGATTTTTGGAGGGATCACCCAGATTAACTTCCTTTTACCATTGAGGGGCTTACCCAAAGCCATGGTCAATGTCCACACCATGAATTAAACCTACATGACTGTGCACTACCTTATCATGTTCCTGTGAGACCAGGGAGTTGGGATGACTTAGAGGCAACGAGCCTGGAATCCAGAGGCATGAAATGACCACTGGCTCAGTGCTTACTGCATGCCTCCACCACAGAGTCACCCTGCATGTATTCAACACTTTGCTTCTGTAAAATAGGCACTGCCATTCCATTTCCTCCCAGGAAAGAGTGAGGCTCTAAAAGACAAAAAAAAAAAAAAAAAAACACCAAGAACATGTCCCTAGAGATGGGCAGAGCACAGAGCCATCTGAAACCTGATCACCAGTGGGCTGCTTCTGCAGGAGCGAGGATTCGGCTGCAGCAGGTCCTGGCTAGGGTGCAGGCACAGACGAAGGACTGGCCCTTTTCAGCTGTGGTCTTATATGTTCATCTAGGAAACAGCCCTGCCCGGTGAACACAAAGTCAACACCAACGATTCCACTGCAGACAAAGCTGGCAGAGTAAAGTCTTCAACTCCTCTCTATGGGTAAGGAAATTTTGTATAGAACAGGAAAATGTGTCCTTCCCAGAGGGCTTCTGGGTGGGGAAGACGGCTCACTCAGTAAAGTACTTGCCATGCAAGCATAAGGACCTGAGTCTGGACCCCAGCATCCACATGGAGCATGGCAAGGAGTGCCCTAACCCCAACACTGGGGATGCAAAGACAGAAAGATCCCTGGGAGTTGCTAGCTAGTCATTCTGTCCAACTTGGCAAGCTCCAGGTCCACTGAGAGACCCTATCTCAAAAAATGAGGTGGGGGATAATTGACAGAGATATTGCCCTCTGGCCTCCACATATTCACACACACACACACACACACACACACACACACACACACACACACACACGCGAGGCAGCGTAGAAAGAACAGGCATGGACTTCCTGAACACAGGGAGTCACAATTTCTAACAATTACATGAAATGCAGATCCAAGGATCCATAGTCCCTATTCTTTTACCTCCTACAGCAACACACCAAAACCTGGCCTCAAAGATATTCTGTTTATGCTGCCGGGATTGTGAGGAAGCTGTCATTGAGAGCTCCAAGGATCCTAGACAAACCCAAGGGAGCCAGCCAACAACCTACAGTAGGTATCAGACAACAGCCCCCTAAGCCTCAGCTTGTATCACCTTCCTCCTAAAAGGACCCCAGATTTCCTTCATTATTTTACCTTTATTTTTTGAGGTTATAATATAATGACATCATTTTCATCTTCCCTTTTGTCTCTCCAAACCCTTCTTGCTCTCTTTCATATTCATGGCCTCTTTTTTCATTAATTGTTAAATGCATATAAGTATATACATATGTATTTCTAGATACTTAAGTGCAACCTGCTCCGTCTGTATAAAGCTATTTGTAAGTTTTCAGGGCTGATGAGTTGATATTGAATAACCGATTGGTGTGAGCTCTACCCTAAGGAAGACTATATCCATTAGTTGCCTGTAGTTCTTTGTATAGGACTGATTCTGTGCACTTTCTCCCATCCACTTGGACACATCTATCCATGTCTTCCTTGTTCGGTTCATGTTTGGGCAGTCATGTTGGAGAGACTTTATGGGTGTCGCTTCTGACTTTATCAGGAGACACAATCACACAGCCAACTCCCTCTTACAATATTTACACCCCCTCTTCCATGATGTCCCCTGAGCCTTGGGTTGGGGAGTGGTTTTGTAGATATACCTTTCATCTTTTGATTGAAAAAAAAATTCCAAGCTAAAATGAGGTAGAAGCTCATAGGTGGCTAAGCCCCAAATAGCCAGTGAGCTCAAGCTTGCGAGTTAAAGTGTAGACTGAGCTCTTGCAGTGCTGACATCACCAGAGAGCTTCTTGGAATGCATGTTTAGGGCTGAGGATGTAACTCCATTGATAAGAGGGCCTGCTTAACAAGCCTTCAACCTTAGGTCCCAACCTAGCCCCACATTTAAAGCAGAGTGTGCTGGCTCATATCTGTACTCCCAGAACTTGGGAGATGAAGTCAGGAAAATGAGAGTTTCAAGGTCATCCCTACTACTTACTGAGCTGGAAGTCAGCTCAGGATATATGAGACACTGTCTCAAAATCAAAAAAGAGCATCTTCAGACCCTGTTACAGGCCTATGAAGTCAGAAACTGTGTTTTAGTGTATTCTCCAGGCAAATCTGGATGTACTTGGTAATCCGAGGAACAAGGCTGAAGACTATAAGATGATAGTTAAGCCCCCTGCCCTCAGATCTGACGTGCCCCTCTGAGTCTCAGTCTGCCACAGAGGTTGGGTAAGTCAATCTGTCTGTGCCTCTGCTAGCCTATTCTGTAAAGTGGGAATATTAATAAATACACTTAGGGAATCATGGGTATGTGAAATAAAGCAATATGCTTAAGTGCCTAGAACAAAAGAGGTAGAGAAGAAATGGAGATGGGTGAGTTCAGGAAGACTTGGGCAAAGCCTTCTGTTAAGAAGCCTTGGAGTTCCAATGGTCAAAGTCCAGGCCACATCACCATCCTTCTCATCTTCATCCTCAGAAATATGAGACCTCCTTGGTTCTGTATCAGGGAACAAAGCAGAAACAGAGAAGGCATCTCAGCCTCCAGTTTGTATCACAGCCTTCTTGATGGCCCAGGACAGAAAAGACAGGGTCAAAACCAGCAATTTCAGAGGGAAAAAAAAAGAGCAATATTATCAAGATCAGGCAAAGCTAAGACTCACAGAGACATAGTAAGACAGAGCTGGTGGAAATCTGCCCAGTGGGACTGGACAAAGGGCAGGAAAATATCCTCACAGCAGGACAGACAGAAACCTAGCAGGACATCCAGAAACCCATGAGAGCTTTTGAAGGGTTTCTGAAAGTAGTTTTACAATAAAAGTGAACAAAATCTTAACACAAATTCCCTTCCCCAGATGATAAGGTAAAGTGTAATCTCTGGTTCACCGGCACATGTGCAGCACTGTTCAGCTCTAGGTGGATCCCCCGCCCTGCCACAGGGTACTTGTGACAAGCATTTCTCAATCTGCACTGCAGCTTGAAGGTGAACGCTATTATCCGAAACAGACGTACCATGTTGCAGGTATGGGTAGAGGAGACGATGTCACACATGCAGTGACAAAGCTGTCACACCTGCTCCAGAGAACTTAGCCTGTCTCTGAAGTTCTTTGTCACCATTCTAGAAGTGCATAAAGGTTTAAATATAATCCATGCCTTTCTTTGCAGTAGTAAAATTAGAAAAAGTCTAAACACACAATAGTCTATTGGTTAAATAAACCTTTAATTATCCATGAAAGAGAATACCATACAACTACTACTTTTTCATGTAGTGGCATGGGAAAAAAATGTTTATACTGTATATGAAGAAAATGAACCACATACATAGGACACACAATCTGATAAACTATGTTTTAAAAAATGCTTAGGGAAAGATAGTATCTGGGAGGAGAGGAGTTACATCATTTTTCCTTTTCACAATGGATATGCATTTCATTTAAAAATAGGAAAAAAGTTGATGCTTTGAAAAAATACATGTTTTTAAATTTAGCACCTGCTTAAAGAGGAATAGATTCAGATTTTCCCCATCCCAAAATACCCATCTTTCACCTATGTGCTGCTTCTGTTGGCTCAATGCCCTCACTTCTGTGATTGGCCAAGCCTTCCCACATGACCCCCATGGAATTCTCGTTGTCAGGTTCGCAGTCCCAGAAGAATGAGTTAAACAAACAAAATCCCAAGCACACTAATGCACAGTCCTTCTTTGGTCAAGAAAAGAGATACTCTTCCAGCAGCAGTGATTTTGAAGGTGAGTCCCAGAGTGAGGTCCTGACACTGGCCTCTGGGAAGGGAGGCTCTGTCCTGATGGCCAGATCCTATGGGTATGGGAATTAACTGTGTTCACACTCCAGAGGACTACAATGCCTCAGTCTAGCTCCATTATTTTCCAAGTTAGGCATTGCATATGAAGAAATGGGTCTGGGATGAAAGGATGTTCCACGTCCACACGCACTCCTCTGGGCACCATAGTGTGGTCTTGAGTGTGCATTTTGTGTGACTCTGCTTAATCTCTACTTTGGAAGCTACACACTCAGCTCCAGACTGACAGGCCCACATTGGTTTCAGAGTGGCAGGTCCACATTGGTTCCAGAGTAGCAGGCCCACATTGGTTCCACACTGGTGGGGGTCCACATTGGGTTTGTTTTCTGATGTTCCCCCAAATCCAGCCAGGTACCTATCAAATGAGCACTATCTGAAAATGCTAATGGGCTCAGCTGGGATGACATGTCTGTGGGTCAAAGAAGAACAAATGTCCAACCTAGTTCGGTAGCACAAACCATGAAGAAGAAAGGCAGCCATGCTGAAGGAAATCTATCCTGTGCCCAGATGGCCTCACTCAGCCCCTTGTCCCCTAGGGGCCATTGATAGATAAGAATCACTCACACTTCCCCACTGCAGAACCCACCTGTCAGTCAAGCCCTTGTTGCAAACACAAGCCCATTGAAGGGTACATTTTCCTGCACCGGCGGCCTACCTGTTCTACTTGAACCAAGAGTGAGGAGCTGAGGGCCACACTGGCTCGCCCACCCCTCCCTTTCTAATATTTCACGCCAAAGTAGGCTGAGATCCGCACTGGGAAAGGGACTTTGCAGGAGCCTACCAGGAAACACCACCATGTCTAAGCCAGGACGAGCCCAAGTTTCCAGGTTCTTATGTGCTTTGCAAGACATTGTTGTCAGCGACTCCACCACCGCAGAATAAAACCAGGCCTCCTAACTCAGCCGGGGTATGCCTGGGCTCCCAAGGAACTCCTGAAATCTGGGAGCCCACCCCAGAGGAATCCAGCCACAGCAGTCCATCCGAGTCTAGCTCAAAGGCCCTCACAGCATGCTTTCCTTCTTTCAGAGCTGACCGCATACAACATCCAAACAGGATACCCTAAAAAAAATCTAAACCGCTACTACCAGGAGCACTGGTCCTTCCAGCCGTGCCTCATGGGGAGACCCTGAGGGTTCTAGTGGCGGCGGCAGTGGCGGCGGCGTCACATGTCACACAGGCTCTGAGCTGTGCGGCTGCTGGAGGATCTCCAGGAGGGTGAAGAGAGTGGTGGACAGGAGTCATGAAGACCGATTCAGAAACTCCACCTTAGGAAGGAAGAGGCCCGAGCCATCCTGTGCCACCTGCATGAGTCACTCCAGCCCCTGACGCGGCCAGGGAGGGAGGCTGCCCTCGATTAAAGTCCTTGGTTGCATGAGAGGACGTGTCCCTCCTTTTTGTCCCTCCCCCATGCCTTATAAATAGCTTATCAGTTCTTATACTGTCACTTCTAAATAACCTATAAAAAAAAACTTAATGTTGTGAATAGCTTCTGAAATGATTGCACATTTACAGAAAAGTTGTCTCAATATAAAAAGGGGGAAAAGGAAAAGAAAAGCTAGTTCAGATTCACCAGTGGTTTGCACATTTCTCCTGTTCATCTTACCCATTTTCCTTTGTTTTTCCTGAATGACCTGAAAGTCAGCATCCTGCCCTCTTCCCTAAATCCTTCATAGAGCAATTCTTATAGACAAAGGACATCCTCCTTTAACTCCGCCAGGTACCAAAAAGTGAAGCATCTCATATTAAGACAATCCTATTTAAATTCCATCAATTGTCCCAAAATGCCTCAGCACTTTTTCACCCAAGGCCATGGATTCCACACAGTCACCGTGAGTTTCACACATTTCAAGTGTTCTGTTTAGAATTACCTGGTATTTCCACTGGATCAGAGTCAAGCTTCCCATTTAGGGCAGGAATGGCCCAGGAGGAGCATGGTGCCCTCCCTAACGGGTGATATCAGGAGGTACAGAGCACACAGGATCCCATATGAGTGGAAATTTAGTTTGCTTGCTGAAGGGATTTCATGTGGACATCAGCGACAGGTCACTTGCCCAGCATGTAGGTCTAGACTTGATCCCTAATACCACAGAAATAAAAACAAAAGTCACTTGTTTGATTTAGTTCCTCGTCAAGTCTTCCTACTTTATTGGTTTGTTTTTTTTCTTGTTTGTTTGTTTGTTTTTTGTTTTGTTTTGTTTTGTTTTGTTTTGTTTTGTTTTGGTTTGGTTTGGTTTTGGTTTGGTTTGGTTTTTTGAGACAGGGTTTCTCTGTATAGCTTTGCCTGTCCTGGAACTCACTCTGTAGCCCAGGCTGGCCTTGAACTCACAGAGATCTACCTGCCTCTGCCTCCCAAGTGCTGGGATTAAAGGCATGCTCCACTATTGCCTGGCTGGTTTGTAATTTTTTTTTTTTTTTACAAAAGATTATTAGTTTGGTTTTGTTACTTTTGTTCTCTAGTGCGATTTCTGGGTTTAATGATAGGCAATCTTTATTACTTTAGCAGTATTTGTCTCTTGATTTGCATTATATTCCATTATGTATTTATTGAGATGGGGCAGGCCAGGGTATACAAGTGGAGGTCAGAGTGAGTACAGCTTACAGGAATCGGTTCTATTCTTCCACAATGTGAGATCCAGGGATTAAACTCAGGTCGTCAGACTTGGCAGCAATTACCTTTACCTACTGAGCCGTCTCAATAGTCACACGCTTTTCCTTGATTGTTGATTTGGGAATTTATTTCCTTCATTTCCTGATACAAGTGTGTAAAGTGTGTGGTAGGCAGAATGGCCTTTCACCCAAGGATGCCTTTCCTCCATTGCCTAGAACCTGGGAGCACATTACCTCACACTGCAGATTAAACAGGCAAAAGTGCTAATGTGTGGCGTTCGGATGGAGACAATCCCAGTTACCCCATGGGCCTACTCCTGTCCATGCAGACAGTCTTCCATCCAGCTCTGAACTCGTTCCTGACACAGCACAGAGGCCAGGAGAGAACAGGAGAAATGGTAGTGGCAGGCAATACAGACAACCCCTACAGGGCAGAAAAAGAACTTAACTAGAACAAGAGATCAGACAGTGCCTAGCCTGCTAAAATATTCAGCCTCTGACTCTGTGCCTCCGTTTCTTAATCTGTAATGTGAGTACAGCAATAATGTCTACCTGGAGCACAAGGCAACACTGAGCCTGAATTCCATTCCCTTCCCTTCCATGTCTTCTTGAGTGCATTGTGCTTTGACTGGCTTAGTCAGACTGACATCTTTTGGGTCCCGGAAAGAAGGATGTCCAACCTAGGACAGTGGCACAAACCATGAAAATGAAAGGCAGCCATGTTGAGGCGTGTCCAGGTGGCCTCACACAGGAAACTGAGCAGGTGGGGCCGGTGGCAGGGACCTACCCCTGCAGTTATGCAGTATGTCTAGCTCTCTCAGAAGAAGAACACATCCTAGCTAGCCTACTAATACAAGGACAGGAGATACCCCTTCTAACAACCTAATACATGGTGGGCAGTGGGACAAACCACTGCAGAGGAGGTCAGCACCCAGGCTCCCTCCTCACAGAACTGTGGTCCTGTCCAGAACCCCTGTCACAAGTTCTCAACCCAGTTCTCAACTCTGTGACATCACAGTCTCCTATCCACTTGGCCAGCAGCAAGTGAGGGAAAGTTAAAGGTGAGACCTAAGAGTGGGAGGGGGAATATCTCTGCACTAAAAGGCCGACAGTGCCCCCACACTCCTGAATATAAATTTACTTGCTACCAACAGTAGACGCTACCCCCTCCTTGGCCTCCACCAACTGTTTCTCCTTCTGGCTCCTGGCTCACCCCACATGTACTGGATAACCCCAAAGGACTCCCTCAACTCGAGAAACCTGCTGGCTTGACCTCAGAACCTTGTTTCATCTGGCCACTGTGGTGTGGGGTCTCTAGAGACCTCAGGCTCACAGTTTGTTGAAGACAAAAGCAAAGTTCTCCTCTTTGGCTCCTATATTCATCTAAGGGGATGGAGAGGGAGACGCAGGTAGTACAAAAAAAAAAAAAAAAAAAAAAAAACAGCCTACATGTCCCCTGTGTCACCATATTTTGGTGACATAAGCACTTACTGTATGCAAGACACTAAGCCTTTAGACCTTCATGCCACACAATCTCCACAACATTGGACAGGTTTTATCACACCATTGTACAGAGAGATAAGCTGAGCTTCAAGAGGAGAAAACTTGCTCTAGGTCACACAGCAAGGTGTTATAGAAATTAAGACACACACACACACACACACACACACACACACACACACACACACACCAACATCCACCTAAGTAAAACGGGTGTGTGCTTAACCAAAATGTCACTCTGTCCATCTTCAGGTGAAGCCTTGATATTTAAGTGCCCCTCCATCAGCTCTCAGAGTACCGGATGCTCCTGAGCATGTCGTCCTGGAACAGCCTGCAGGGTGAGGCAGGAGACAGCAGGGACTCTGGCTTCCCACACCACCACACTAACAGTGCTAAGGTAGAGCTCCATGGTAGAATTTTTGCCTAGCATGGGCAAGGCTCAGGCTCCATCCCCAGTCATGGAAAAGAAAAGAAAATCAATGGGGTCCAAGCTGTTCTTTGGGCTGCAACACGGGGACAAATCACATTTCTGAGACCCAGCACCCTCTAACAAAGTGGGACACCATCCTGCGTCATATATACTGACAAGACAAAAGAAAAAGAAGTCCCAGATGCCAAAAGACCTGCTGTAGATAATCGATGAACATCAGCATGTCTCACACTGAGGCTGGTCCTCTTCCCATTAACTTGTATAACAAAGTCCCAAATGAAGCTGTTTCACAACTAGGGAGAAAAAAACCCACTGGCGGAAAGGAGACTGGGGAGGAAGGACTGTGTGTCACTCAACAGTCAGAGGAGCTCTGGGCATTGATTTTACCAACACAGAGAACACAGAGTGGACACCCACTCTGCCCTGAGTTACGGTGTGACCAGAGACCCAAAGGTGGTGGTGACCCATCCTGTCTCTGAGAACAAAAATGTTGCTCCTGTTCAGAATCCTCGGGATTTCACACAGGACTTTACACCAGGAAATCCTCCATAAATACTTGTCCCCAGGTATCCATAGAGAACTAGTCCCAAAGCAGCCTTGGATACCAAACCACATGTGCACCCAAGCCCCTGAATAGGACATTGTATTTGCATCTAACCTACAGAGGGGGGGGAAGGAGAAGGGGGAGAGAGAGAGAGAGAGTAAGAGAGAGAGAGAGAGAGAGAGAGAGAGATGGAGGGAGGGAGAAAGAGAGAGGAGAGACATACACCCTATCTTTTAAACCATTTCAAGTTACTTATAATGCCTAGCGCTACAGGAACACTTGTTACATTCTGTGGCTTAGGAAATGATAAAAGTCTGTATATGCTTAGCCCAGATGCACATTTTTCAGAACTTTTTCATCCATAGCTGATTGAATCCATGGATTCCGAACCCACAGTGTTAAATATATGTGCTGAACCATTTTTTAAAACCGTCTGTTTCAGCTGGACACATGTCATACACCCATCTGTAGTCACAGCAGCGGGGCGGACGGAGCCAGAGGATAAAGAGTTTGAAACCAGCTTGGGCCACATAGGCAGAACCCTCACTAATTACACAAATCCCAGATTTCTTTCACAGACAAATAACCATTCAGCAAATACTGCTGAGCACCTACTAGAGATTAGGCAGACACTGTTCGGTGACAAGGAAAGGCCACGATTCAGGAAAGCCCAAAGCAGAGGGACCACAAAGGGGAACCTGATTCACCCCAGGACAAGGACAGCTTCCTGAGGAGGTGGCAGTAAGGAGTGAGAAAGGAATGCGGGGCGGAGGGAGGGAGGG